AAATGGAACCACAAGAAGTTCCACCTTAATGGGAGGAAGAATTTCTTTACCTTGTGGGTGGCAGAGCTCTGGAACTGCTGCTCAGGGAGAACAAGGAGTTTCCCTCTCTGGGGACATTCCAAACCCACCTGGATGAGTTCCTGTGTCTCCTGCTCAAGGTGACCCTGCCTTGGCAACAAGAATGATCTCCGGAGGTGCCTTCCAAACCCCACAATTCAGTGATTTTGTGGAGCTGCTTAAATGCTCCAATTAAATCCATCAGTATCACACCATGATGCAGAGATGCTTCCTACAGCTCAAAGCCTGCCAGCCTGGATCCTGGGAGCAGGCTGATCTGTTGGAATACAGAGCTCCACATGGATGGATGAATTCTCCCTGCCCATGCCTGGGCACAGCAGCTGTGACACATCCTGATGGCACAAGGCACCCCAAGGGCTCCCCATTCCAATTTGCTGCCTTGTATAGCACAAAGAATCTACTCCTTCGGAGACTTTACATCAAGAGAAAAAGAAAAAAAACACCAGCAGAGAAACTCAAGTTCACCCTGGACTCTTGAAAAGTCCTCCAGTGTGTCAGACATTCTGAACCTGGAGAGTACAGAGGCTCTTTGATGAAAATTCAGGCAGTTACACGCAAAGAAAAATGGTACTTCCCAAAAGACCCAGCACAAAAGATGTATTAAGTGATAATTTCATTCTCAAATGGTTTTCAAGCAACAACTGGTAGCACTTAAATCAACATTTTGCACATGATTAAATCCTAAGGACAACTAATTATTTCTGGCATTTCTTTAAAACTTCTCTATCAGCCAAGCTGATGTTGGAAAGCTTCTGCTGTGCTTTCACTGCAGTTAACTTTCAAAATACTTCTTCAATGAAATCATCACGCTGCTCATGGCAAGAGAAATTTATCTGTGGCCTGAATAAGACTCTGTGTTCCACTTCAGCCTGCCTGAAAAAGATGGATTACCTACAGTAAATGTCATTATTCCAAGCTACCTTTGTGTAGTGCCACCCATGGGCACGGCAAAGCCCCGTGAGTGAGTGTATTCCAAGACCACTGGGAAATCCATGGATTTATAAATGTTGTTTAAGCAGTACCCAGAGCCTCATGAGAGCATTTCCACAGAGTGAATTTCTCCCTGAATGCACGACATGAATTGCACTCATTGTGGTAGAATTGCTCATGCCTAATTTGATGGAATACATAAAGAACAATAAACAGCAAAGCACCAGTGTGGCATATGCAACCTCCAGATTTATACTACAGGGTGAATCTTTTTGGCCTGACCCAGGAGCAATAAATAGCAGGAAACAGGAATGTTACATTCAGGTGAAAGATTGACTGTAGTGTAGCACGAAAGGTCTCATTAGATTTATGTACCTGGAAGGAACAGAATTAATGTACTTAGAGAAACTCAATTTGGTACCACCTGTATTATACATGCAACAACAGCCAGGTAAATGATAGCTTTAATTTAAACTTTTCTTGCTTTATTTAATTTAAGGTAAGCCCCCAAACTGTATTTTGTGGTGCTGGGCTGCAGGTTTTATCTTGAAAAATACTGTTATTGTTAAAGAAAAGTGTGTAGCTAATCCCTGTGCAGCACACTGAAAATAACCCTTTAATTTCATTCTAATGGCATTTCTCTGGTATTCACAGGAATGCCAGCTCTGAGACTGTTAACTTTTGGAATTTAATGTAGGACAATTACAGCCAAAGTATGTCTGGGGAAGGTCCTGGCAGAGGGGGCACACTCCTTCTCTGTGTGGGTGCTTAACTGGGGATGTCTGAGGGGTTCAATATGCTCCCAAAATGTTATACCCCCCTCCAAAGCACAGAATATATGGCCAGGAAGCTCTGACACAGGGAGAGCTGGACAGCAAAAAACTGCAGTGTTAACTTCTCCCTGTGCACCACTTTGTGGGATCTCATTCCCTGCTTTGCATCCTGAATTATTCAGATCCAGGTGCCCACGTGAGAGGGCAGAGGATGCCCTGGAGATCCTCAGGGCAGCACTTGCACAGCTCTGAGATGTGGGGTTGTATTTTAGACTCCTCTGGGACAACTCAGATTTTAGAATGGGTCTAAACAGAACAGGTACAGTTTTAATAAAAAATGAAATGCAGCTCCAAGCACTCCAGGAACTGCTTGTGGTAATATTGAACATACAAAGCATTTTAAGAAGTGAGGAAATATTATAATTTATTATTATCATTTAAGGAAACAATTTTATGGGTTGCAAAAGAAGAGACTAGGGAAGGCTTCTGCAGAAAAGGAAATGCAAGTAACTCACAGAAAGGCAAGGTAGCACAATCTGATTCACATTCTGTTTTCCCTAAAACTGGCAGGAAAACCACATTTCCATTCCCAGAGTGTAATAACACGACATATTACACTCATGTATGTGAGATGTAGAAATGCCACAACATATATTTATTTTTGTTGATTGGCAGTGTTAGCTCTCCATTAAAAGTGTAGTATTAAGATCTATTTTCTCAGGCCTGAGTTAGGGCCTATAAAATAAAACATCTCTAATGAAATAAACAGTGGTTTTTAATGACAATAATTAAAAAATATTATTTTTGTGTATAGTATGAGCATGCAATATTTTTTTTGTTCTTCTGCTCATCTTTTTTTTTTGGTAGCTTTTAAGTGATTTTTTTTCTTCTTTTTTTTTTTTTTTTTTTTTCTCCTTTGGTAGCTTTTAAGAGATTTTTTCTTTTTTTTTTTTCCTTTTTTTTTCCTTTTTTTTTCCCTTTTTTTTTCTTTTTCAGCAAATCATGCTTTAGGAAATGTATTGAAGTATGAATTTTCCTTGCTGTCTCCATTTAGGAACATGTAAAAAAACTCAAGATTAACAAACAAACGCCTCCCACTGTCCCAGGCTGCTCCAGCCCCAGTGTCCAACCTGGCCTTGGGCACTGCCAGGGATGCAGGGGCAGCCCCAGCTGCTCTGGGAATTCCATCCCAGCCCCTGCCCACCCTGCCAGGGAACAATTCCTCATTCCCAAGATCCCATCCAGTTTGGATGCCATTCCCTGTGTCCTGTCCCTCCAGTTCCTGGTGAAGGGTCCCTCCCCACAAGCACAAACATTTAATGAGGATAGCACAGACAGCTCTGAAGGAAATGCAGGCATCTCTATCCACAAAGGGGAATTTTGGCAGCTGAAATCTCAGCCACCTCCTGTGCAGGGAGCCACAGCATCACCCTGAGTGCTTCAGTGCATGCACATGCTAATAGAAAATAGCAAAAAGAAGGAGAAAATTTAGAATCATGGAATATCCTGAGTTGGAAGGGATCATCCAGTGCCACCCCTGGCCCTGCCCAGACCCCCCAGAATCCCACCCTGGGCATCCCTGGCAGTGCTGGCCAAAGGAGCTGTGGCAGCCTCGGGGCTGTGCCCATTCCCTGGGCAGCCTGGGCAGTGCCAGCACCCTCTGGGGGAAGAACCTTTCCCTAAAATCCAACCTAAACCTCTCAGCAACAATTAACTCTGATTATCTACTCTAGTGCACTTCATGGAATTTACACTGAAGGAAACTGTGATCAGTTCTCTAACAGAAATGCCAGCACAAATACTTCAGAGGCAATTTCAGGAAGCAGGTAAAACTGATTTTGAATCAAACACCATTTGTGATTATACCTGTGCATTTGCTTAGCACAAAAAAAATTAAAAAGACACTGGAATAGATTAAAGACACCAGAACTTCTGAATAAGCAGCCTTACAAGAAAACTTCCTCTAATTCTTGGTAACTTCAGCTCACCATTTATTTCTATGTATCTCAAATCTTCGACTGCTCACTGGAAATCCTGATTTGACTTCAGCACAATTCCCAGCCTCACCACAGAACATGGGAGGTGTGATAAGCTGGCAGACCACTTTGCCCTGCTTGTGGTGCTCATCACATCAGCACAGCAAGTGTGAACAGCAACCACAGAGCCCAGGGCTGAGGTTTTCCTGAACAACTGACCCTGGGAGATGAGATTAAAACACAACACAGGTGTTTGGGACAGGGAGATGTGAAGCACAGGCTCCACTGGTACATCACCAACAATTGTCAGCAACTGACTCTTCTGGACCTTTGCCCTTCAGCAACACCAAAGGAAAACTGTTTTGACAGTCAGGCATCTTAAACAGGAAAGCACTTGTTTGGATAGCTTCCTTAAAAAAAAATAAAAATCTTCATTGTGTTTCTTCAGATGTCCCACAGGGTGCCCTAAGCTTGGGAAAGGCACCAGTCAATATCCAAAAATCCACTGTAATACCTTTGCAGACTAATTGACACAAGTCTTCTTTATAGTGACATCCCCCAAAAAATGTCCTGAGACAACAGTCAATACACAGACACTCTGTGGCTACTGCCTGTTGAGTTATTTATTTTTCTGTTCCTTTCTACTCCCCTGCCTGCCTCCATATTTATGTTGTTTTTTCAGCATGAGTTCTTAAATCCAGCTTCACTTTTTGGCATTATGTTTACAGTGACTACAAAAGGAAAGATCAATAGTTCACACCCTCTGCCATTACAAGATTTTAATTCCAGTGTTTCCCTGTTTGGTTATCTTTGGAGCAAAAACAACTGCCCAAATTGCTGGATTTAACAACTTCCATGGAGTGTTAGATCACACACACCACACCCTTTGATGGATCAGTGGTGCTGCTCCAGGCTACAGCAAATCCCCATTTTATTAACTTCAATATGTGCTCTTTCACCTGGTGTGCAAAGCAAATTCACATCCAAAATCTATCAGCAGTCAGAGGAAAGGCATTGCACGAGCTCAGGAGAAGTCTGTGCCTGTAGCACCATTTCAGACCCTCTGTAACACCTGAACATGGCTGAAAGATCAAGGTAGGGCAACCTAGAGCACCCAGGGATGGCAGCAGTGGCCAGGTGGGATAATGAGGCACCTAAAATGCTGCTAAAGATGCAGGTTTAGACAACTGAGCCACACCCAACACAAAAATCCCCGTTCTTGAGCCGCCCCCAGCCTCCTTACCTTGACCCATTAACCTGGTTGGGGTTGCACTCCATCTTGATGGTGACTCTGGCTGGGGGCTGTGACAACCAGTCCTGCTGGGGGACACGTGGGCTCATCTTGGAGGTCTGCCCATATTCACTGGAGGAGGAGGCTGTCATCTCTGTCTTGGTGAGGTGGGGTGATCCGTAGGCACACTCGAACAGGGACTGGTCTTCGCTCACCACCGATAACGCTTCCTGCAAACCAGAGACAGGTCAGGGCAGCCAGCACAGGGCTCCCCAGGGAAAAAAGGGCTTGTCCATCTCACAGGGAGGGGAACAGTTTCATGCATCAAGGAAAAATTAGGTTGGATGTCAAGAAAAAGTGTTTTACAGAAAGGGTGATGAAGTTCTGGAATGGGAGGTGGTGGAGTCCCCATGCCTGGGTGTGTTTAACAAAGCCTGGATGTGGCACTGGGTGCCAGGGTTTAGTTGAGCTGTTAGGACATGGGCTGGACTTGATGATCTTGAAGGTCTCTTCCAACCCAATGATTCTGTTCTATTAGTTTTTAGGCACAGCACTGTTACCACTGAAGGTGAGGACCCATGGGGACAGATGTTGTCAGCAAATGACAGGACAGTTGTAACAGTTGTGCAGCAGAGGATGGCATGGAATGGTACAAATAATAATGTGGTTTATATCCCTACAAAAGATGTTTGGAATATTGCATGATTGTGCCTGAGGGTGTTAGTTACCTACAGTGACCAGAAAGAACAATTCTCTATGAGAAAGGAAAAAGATAATACAAAGGATAATGCAAAAGAAAAAGAAAACAAAACTTGGATAGCCATGTTTCTTTCATATTTTATTTCCTTTTTCACTCTGAGTGAGTTTCATAGCAAAATTCACTGGATTAGATCTTTCCCTGCCATGAGAGGTTTGCCACTGGTCATAGTGGCAAACAAAGTCCTGCTGTGGGCTCTAGGCCTGCTGGAAACCCCACTAAAGGCAACAACAAAAAATATTTCCACTTACTTTGATGTGGTTTGGATAAGATTTAAGTTCTTTTTAAAAATAGATGGACTTGATGGGGGAACTCTCCCTGGGGAGACTCTCCCAGTGCAGCTGGGCAGAAGCACAAACACTACCAAACACTGGGAACAGAGGAGAGGGCAGGGTGGGCAGTACAGCCCAGGTCTGTGGGGTCTCAGCAGAGGTACAGAGGGTGAGATCTGCTGAATGCAGCAAAAATTGCTGCCCCTGAGAGGAGAAACTGAAAGCCAGGCCCTGCTGACCTGCTGGGATCCTCCTTTCCTTACTCAGGGACCCAGCCAAGTCCCTTCTGGACCAGGAGCCAAGAAATGTGGGCAACAACCTCTAATCCAGGGATACCATGCCCACCAGCCACTTCCCTCCCTCTCATGGCAACTCCTTCTGGTGGAAATCCCACTCTGGAGCTGTGGGAAGTGCTTCCCACCCTCCTCATGGCAGCATGGGGGTTGTTGAGGGCAGCAGGGCCCATCAGGTGCCATCATGTCTGTCTGGAGGCCAGACAGACACCAGAGGAAGGGACAGTGACCCTCTGTTCCCACTGCCAAGCATTCCTGCTGGCACCAATTCCTTCCCTGAGCTATCTGGAGCTGAGTCTTGTGAGTCAGGCCTGTGCTACCCCACATCCATCAGGAAATGTGGGAAGGGCTGAAACTCCTGAAGGGACAAATCCCACGTGAGATGAGGCTTCACAGGCATGAGAACAGGTCTAGGCTGCCACACTCCTTCTGTCCTCCAGCAGTGCACAGGCTTGGGGGCACCCTCCAAAAGCAGAATTCTGAGTAAAACCACATTCTCCAGGGGTGACTTTGGGGGGACAAGGTGCATAAGGGTGCAAATTCGAGAAAGGGAAGGGGCTGCCCAGTGAGGTGCTGGAGTCTCCATCCCTGAAGGTGCCCAAGGAGCACCTGGACGTGGCACTCAGTGACAAGGTGGGCACTGGGCACAGCTTGGGCTTGATGGGCTGGGAGGGCTTTTCCAGCCTCAGGGACTCTGTGAAAGGACAGTGGCCCACTGTGTGACTCCATCCTGGCCCTGTGGCATGGAATGGAGCAGGGGTGCAGCCCAGCACCTCCTCCCTGCCACTGTGGGGACAATCCCCACTGTGTGACTCCATCCTGGCCCTGTGGCATGGAATGGAGCAGGGATGCAGCCCAGCACCACCTTCCTGGATTGTGGGGACAATCCCCACTGTGTGACTCCATCCTGGCCTGGAATGGAGCAGGGGTGCAGCCCAGCATCTCCCTCCTGCCATTTTGGGGACAATCCCCAATGTGTGACTCCATCCTGGCCCTGTGGCATGGAATGGAGCAGGGGTGCAGCCCAGCACCTCCTCCCTGGATTGTGAGGACAATCCCCACTGTGTGACTCCATCCTGGCCCTGTGGCATGGAATGGAGCAGGGGTGCAGCCCAGCACCTCCTCCCTGGATTGTGGGGACAATCCCCCTGTGTGACTCCATCCTGACCTGGAATGGAGCAGGGGTGCAGTCCAGCACCTCCCTCCTGCCATTTTGGGGACAATCCCCAATGTGTGACTCCAACCTGGCCTGGAATGGAGCAGGGGTGCAGCCCAGCACCTCCTCCCTGCCACTATGGGGACAATCCCCACTGTGTGACTCCATCCTGGCCTGGAATGGAGCAGGGGTGCAGCCCAGCATCTCCCTTTTGCCATTTTGGGGACAATCCCCACTGTGTGACTCCATCCTGGCCTGGAATGGAGCAGGGATGCAGCCCAGCCCCTCCTCCCTGGATTTTGGGGACAATCCCCAGCCCTGGGCCAGCGAGGATGCTCTGTGTGAGCCCGGGGGCTGATGGAAGCTGAGGGGGAGGCTGGGCCAGCTGGCCATGGCTGTGAGTTTGGGGGCCAAGGATCAGGGAATGAGGGGAATTCTGAGCCAGACTCGGGGCAGGGAGCTCTGTGAGGCAGTGTGGGTGGGCTGTGCTCCTGCCAGATCTGCTGCTGACGGCCAGAAATGCGTGGTCCTCTCGGCAGAGGAGAAGGGAGAGAGAAAAGGGATGGGAGTTCCCCAGATCTGCGAGGGTGGGTGGCTGCCTGCAGGCTCCCACCCTCCCTGGCTGCTGGAATAGGACTCTGCTGAGCTCCAGCAGCCACATGCTGCCCTAAAAATCAGTGTTTGTTCATCTGAAGACTCATGGTGTGATCCTTGCAGATGTTCTATGCAGGGGGAAGAGTTGGACTTCATCCTTGTGGGTTTCTGTTCTGGGATTCTACATTCCTCCTTTTTATCCACCAGGTTTGTGAGCCCTTGGGGTGCACTCTGCTAATATTCATAGTTTGCTCTGCAGTTGCAAAGGTGAGGACATCACTTCCAGCCTCTTACTGCCTGTGAAAACTGAGATCACCCCTTAATCCCAGAGTTTGGGGAGTGGGATCTCAGGCCCTTCAAGCTCCCTGAGACTCATGATTGAATTAACACTAACACAGAGTTCAGGCAGTGATCTGCACCTTTTTACTGCTGATTTTCAGATGTCACCTGAGTGCAAAGATCAGCACTAGGCTGCCACCAGTGACTTCTCAGTTACCATCCCTCCTCCTTTCCCACCAAAATGCAACCAGCTACCTCTGCCTCTTTGGTTCTGTGAGACAAAAAGGATGCCAGGATACACCTCCCCTTTTTGTCATGCCAGAAATCTTTTCACTTGGTGGTCTGAAGCTTTCCTGAAGAGCCTTTTCTAAGAAAACCTGCAGACCAAGGAGGTGTGGGGGGAGATGGCCACTGGTCCCTTGCTCCCCAAGGATTCTTCCCTGCCTCCACTGAGAAACCTCAGGGAACTTGATGTGCTTGGATAATGAAGTAGCAGGGATGATGTAACAAGAACTAAAGAAAGAAGATGTTACACTGGAAGGAAAATAAAGAGTTCTTTCTCAGCAGCCCATGAGATTTTTTCATGAAATAACTCCCCAAAATTAAATATATATGTGTGCACAAACACAGCTGATCACAATGCATCTCATGCCTGACACTACTGAATGCACAGTTCCCTCTTTTCTGCCCCAATCCATGAGACTAAGAACACAAAACAAAATGTTAATTTGGAAAGAGTTAGCTCCAGTAAATACACTGAAGTGTGAATTATACAGGAGAAAGCTGATACAAACTGCAAATAAAACATTATTTAACTCTATTTACTATTGTAAATAGTAGAATATTGTATTTACTACTGTAAAGAGTATAAAGAGTATACTACTGTTAGAGTATTGTATTTACTACTATAACTGTTTACTCATGGACCTTTTCAAAACAGGCATCAAGCACTATATAATGGATTTATTTCTCATCCTCCCCCACACAAGTGACACAAAGCAAATTTTTTCTGGTTCCTATTAAAAATTACTCCACCTAATATAAGTTAATTTATGGATATTTAGGGTAAGTATAAATATAAAGAAAAACAAAGAAAAAAATAGTTTTCTATTTATTGGCATTACTAATGACAACAAACACTGCTTGTACTATGGGTGTCCATTATATTGCCTGAAGAGGGAAAATGCAAACATTTAAACTTCCTGATGAGCACAGTAAATAATGGAAATACAAACCAAATTACCTAGGGCTGTGTGAATATCTACAGCTATGGGCACAAAACAAGACAAACACAAACGAACCCAAGAGACAGACTTAAACTTCACATTTGAGAGGAAAATTCCTGGAGAAAGCAAGCTGAGCCTGAGTTTAGCTGTGGTTTAATAGCACTGATCTGTATCCATCCTGCTGGTCATCAGCTGGTGCTCACTGACAGGTCTGGGAAGGCTCTGCAGGAACCACTGAGCTCCTGCCAGCTTTGTGTGCTGTGGCTCAGGCCCTGTGTGGAGGCTCCTTAATGTGCACCCCACAACATCCTCTGCCATTCACCCTCCCTGGTCTTGGTGGCCTGTGTGGAAGGACAGCAGGACAGGGATCTCCCCTCCCTGGGTGACAAAAGCTGCCCTGGCCATCAAAGCCTGTGCAAGATGTTGAGGAGTCAGCACAACTAAAGAACGTGGCCCATGCTGGAATCAGCCTCAGGTCTTCTTCAGCCTCTTCTTCCTCTCAGTGACATTTAATCAGTGAATCAAAGAATGGGTTGGGTAGGAAGGGAACTTCATTCTACCTCCCTGGGACACCTTCCACTGTCCCAGGCTGATCCAAGCCTCAATGTCCAACCTGGCCTTGGACATTTCCAAGGATGGGGAAGCTTCTCTTG